GTCCTCCACCCAGCTCGGGCAGCCTGTCCAGTCTCCCAGCTGTCGGCTTGCATCTCCGGCTGGGTGTCGCAGGGACACTCTCTGCCCATTTAACTTAGTTCTGTTGGTCAAGGGGTGCTCCGTACAGATCCGAGCCTCAGAGGCTCCCTCTCTGTCCCACTGGCCTCTTCGCTGGAGAGGAGAGACCCAGCAAACAAGCGCTAGTCCTCCTTTGCTGCTCCCTCCTCACGGGACCAGTCCCACACTGTTTTGCCTTTTCTTCTTTCTTTTCTCCTCTTCTCCTGCCAGATTTTTGGCGTCTTTGTCTTTTGAAGAGAGTGATGTTCTGTCGCAGTTCGGCAGGTGCTCTGGTTGGTTGAGTGGGTCCGTGGACGTGAGTCTTGGTGTATTTGTGGGACAGGGTGAGCTATGAGCGTCCTTCTACTCTGCCATTTTGGCCTCCTCTCTAATTTTGTGATAAGACTTTCAATCTGAAAAATCTAATAGAATACACTGAAAACTTTTTAGTATTAATAAGAGTTCAATTTGCTAGTACACTTATAAAGAATAAAGATTATAGTTTTTATATACACTTTGTTAACAAATTAGAAACTATAATGGAAAATATATTGAGAACAAGAATAAAAATACAAAATATCTAGTAATATATTTAATAAAAAGTGGATAGGAGTAGTCTGTTGCTGGAAATATGATGAATCAGATACTCTAAAGGAGTGCCTAATTACAATAAAAATATAAATAAACAATATATTTTTTAAAGCCTTGGAGAGGGTGAGTCCAGTAAAGCAAGAAAAAAAGAAGCCAAAGGCAAAATAATTGGAAAGGAAGAAATAAATATTATTACTTACATGATTGCCTATAAATAAAACTTAAAACTCTACAGATAAATTAGAATAAGAAAGTTCAGAAAGTTATCTATAATTTTAATATCAAAAGCATTTCTATACCCTAGAACCAAACAGAAAATAGAATTTTTAAAAAACATACTATCCAGAATTATGGATGACCAAGATAAAACTGTTAGAATTCGTTCCCCAGCCTTCCCATGTTCACATGAGCCCTTTAGAATTCAATTACTTCCTTATTTCTCTCTTCCTCAACTTCTAGATTTTGAAACAGAGTTTAGTGCTTTTGTGGTTAGAGATTAATCTAAAAGTTTACTCTTACAGCATCTCTTCTATATCAAGAGTTCTTATTTGGTACTTGTATTTCATATTCTCAGTCATTCTATCATAATCTATTTACATTTAACCATATATGTTACACAGTTTTTTGTTTGCCATTATTCCCTCTCTTTGTTTCCCTCTATCTTGGAAAAGACTCTGCTCTGATTGGTTTGCAGTTTGGTTAAGAGCCCTTCTAGAAGGTTTTTCTCAAATGTGATATCCTTGCATGTCCCCATATCTTCATCTTGTGTCAACAAATGTTAATCCTAACTGGGTCCCTTCCTATCTGTAATCTACAGATGTTACTCCACTGCTTTGTAGTTTCTGGTGTTGACAATAAAAAGTCTGCAATCTGGTTCCTTCTCCTTTATAAGTAAGTATATATTCGGTCTGAAAGCTTACAAGATTTTCCTTTTATCTTTGAAATCCTGAGATTCTCTTGGGTTGTTCTTTTTCCTCCTTCTGGAACTCCAGATACTTGCATGGGAAGTCCCTTAAGTCTCTTTACTTTTTCTTCAGGATGTTTTTTGTTCTGCATTTTGAGCTCTCTTAAACTTCCAAGCTGCTTGTTCGGGTGTTAACAGTGACAAGCCAATCTTTCAATTCAACTACTGTTTTTTTTTCAATTCAAAACACAATCTCTAGTTCTAGAAAGTATTTTTCGTACAATAATTCAATCTTGTAATTGCTGCATGTATTTAATCAAGGTATTTTCTCTTTTCTTTAGCAGTGTTATTTCAATGGAAACTGCTATCCTGGGTGTTTTGTTTATTCTTTCTATGTCTGGATATTGGATCTCCTTAGCTGCACTGCACTTTTTGTCTCCTCATTCCTCTATTCACCCTTAGATGATTTAAACAATGGAAACCTTGCCAGCAGGGGCAAGTGCAGCAGTCTTTACCCCATGGGTAGGTAACATTAGATGCACCAGTTACTGAATCCATTTGGAAGCCTAAAGAATTCTCCCTGGTCTCCTCACTGTCCCAGCCTTAAGGGTAGGAAATACTCGTCTGACCTACAGAATGACCCTATTGAGGTCCTCCGATCTCTGTGGGTCAAGCTCTGTCCAGGAACTTCTCTCGTCAGTGCTCTCTACTGACCCTATTCTGTCCTCTGGCCCAGAGGGGAACAATTTTCTTCACAACCTTCTCAATTACTTTTCTTACAAAACCAATGCCTTGCTCATTCCTTCCAAGTCCTACCTTCCTGCCACCCAAAAACCTGCTCCACTGAGGGGAGTCTGCTGGCAGTTTAAAAGGGTGGACAGCAAGGACATGTTTCAATAGTCACCTTTTCAAAAATACCTCTACCCTCAAATAAGTGAAAATATTCCAATCTGCTGCCTGTATGTTTCAAGCAATGTTGTGAGGAATATGAAGATACTTTCAAAAGGAAGCCAAAATTATCATTTGTTCAATAAACACCTAAGTGACCACCAAATGGGGGCCACTGTTCAGGAGCAGACACACCAGTATTGATCCTTAAGGAGTTTTCCTGGAAAGAGGCCACACTAACTTACCTGTTTGAATTCTGATGCTAGTGTAACAAAGGTTCTGTTGACTTTTTTTTTTTTGAAGTATAGTCAGTTTACAATCTTGTGTCAATTTCTGGTGTACAGCATAATGTTTCAGTCATACATATACATACATATAATCCTTTTCATTATAGGTTACTACAAGATGTTGAATACAGTTCCCTCCATTATACAATGTAAACTTGTTGTTTATCTATTTTATATATAGTAGTTAGTATCTGCAAATCTCAAACTCCCAATTTATCCCATCCAACCTTCTTTACCTCCTGGTAACCATGTTTGTTTTCTACATCTGAGTCTGTTTCTGTTTTGTAAATAAGTTCATCTGTGTCTTTTGTTTGTTTGTTTTAGATTTCACATATAAGTCATATCATATGGTATTTTTCTTCTTCTTTCTGGCTTACTTCACTTAGTATGACAATCTCCAGGTCCATCTATTTTGCTGCAAATGGCATTATTTTATTCTTTTTTCATGGCTGAGTAGTAGTTCTGTCAAATTTTTAAAAAGTGAAGTGAAAAAGGACTCCCAGTATGTTTTCTCCTTATCATATTTTTCTGGGGTAGAACTGTCATCACCTAAAGGAGATTGAGGCACTCTGTGAACTCAGAACTCATGCGAAAGTATAGAAAAGTCAGCTTTTCATAAAGGAAAAAGACAAAATAGTAAGAATACAAGAAAGTAAAGAAGCATTTGCTGGCATATGTGAGGAGAAAACAAAAGTATGAGAATTTTGCAGAACTCTGTAAGGTACCAAAGACAAAGATGGAAGAAAGGTAAGGGAAACGCAGCTGGCTTCCTGCTGGCTTTAATGATACTCTTCACGTGTTCCTGTGTTCAGTGTTTCTAGTTTAGCAATCACGTAGTCATGCAGATCAAGTCAAAGCCAGAAAACGATTGAAAAGGGCCCTTTGCGTACAATAAAAGGTTGAACTTATTTCCCAGACAGACTGAGGTTACCTTTGACAGTCTACTCACTTGTACCCCACCCCACCCATCCAATATTCATGCATCTCAAGAGTGTTAAAGACAATAAATAGAAATCCAATAAAGGGACTTTATAAGTACATACCTGTTTTAGGCCACAGTGCATTGACTGCAATTTCACCTTTAAATTCTTCTGCCATTCCAAGCACACACATAGACATACCATACTTAGCAATGGTATAAGCTGAAAGAAATCACAAAGAATTTAATTAAGAAAGAAGTTAATTTGTGAGTATAAATAACCAATTTCTTACTGTTACTATGTCCTCCTTGATACATTTTTTCAGAATTCTTTAATAATATAATGTATACAAAATATAATTTTTAATGTACTGTTTTTAAAAGAGCAGTTTTTACAGAAGTAACTGTAGTTTTGTGGAAACATTTTATATATACCATGAATGAACTGGGTGTATATATTTCCACCTTAATATTTGATTAAAAGAGTAATAAACTTCCATTTTTCTTAATGTTATGGGGACAAGTTTCATTGTTGTTTTTTAATCTGTTTATTTTTCTTTTTTTATTGAAAGTGATCATATAAAGGAAAACTACTGCTAGTAAAACATCAACAAAAGGTTTCAAATTTGTTTAATCCAGTCAATTAAAACAGAAGTTCTTTTAGTTTTGTTCTATGGGTTCCTATTCCAACTATCTTCCTTTCCAAATGTCACTGAATTATATTGAAGCAAAGACTAAGTATCTGATACAACTATTTCAAAGGAGGCGCCTATACATAATCTTGTTATTCAACACATTCATCTTAAATCATCAGTTTGTTATGAAAGGTAAAGTATTTCATGGATAGTTTTAACCAACTTTATTGAAGAATAAGTAACATACAATCAAACACACCAAGACTTAAGGGAGCTTTCTAGGATAGTGGATATCCGTATCTTGATTTGGGTAGTGGCTATACAGGTGTATACATTTGTCAGAACTCATCAAACTGAGCCACTAACATTCGTGCATTTTATTTAATGTAAGTTGTATCTCGATTTTAAAATTACAGAGAAAAGATTACTCTCTAAAATGCTACAGATTCTGTACAGAAAATTAAATGTTGAATGCGATGTACAAATTATGATCACATCATAGAAACATTGATTTAATACAAAACAAACTGACCATACAAGCCAGCCCCTCATCCTACCACCTACCACAGTGCTGTTTGAACCACAGTGGATTTAGGTTCAGTGGTGGGCTGAGGTTGAGGATATGTGCAATTTTACTCTTTTTCAAATAAGGAATACATGCTTTGGATCTGAAAGCAAAAGAAAACACAAGTCAAGTTAATAGCTTCCTAACAGCTTCATTACTTTTTACAGCTGTATTTTACTACCTGAGCAGAGCAACTGAACTTGCTCAGTAACCTGTAGGGTACTTCTGTTTTTGTTTGTTTGTTTGACTTTTCTAGAATGAAGATAGGAAAAGCAACTATAATTAATCCTTTGAAGCTTTGCTTAATGGCCTGACAATATAATCTGCTTGATGAAAATAATCAAATCTTTGGCACATCAGCCTAAAACCCAGCTAAGGTTATCCTCAACTCATCCTTCCAAATTCTCCCTCACACACACATACACACACACACACACACACACACCTTTCAGTCTAAGTTAGCATACTTGTCACCCAGCACAGTCACCATTGTGGTAAAGACCATGGGTGTTCAAGTCAGACAGACTTGGATTCAAAACCTCCGTCTGCCCTTCATTGTGTGATGCTGGGCAAAACATATACATTCTAATTCTTGGTTTTTTCATTTGTCAATGTTGGTAATATCTGCTACAATCTAGGATGGACTAAGGGATTAAAACGAGATGATACATATGAGATACTTAGAACAGTGCATATATTAAATGTGAAATAAATAACTGCTATTTTCAGTATTACACAGGCTGATTTCTTTCATCTTAGTAGGTGTGGTATTCCTGCCACACTGGAACTGTAATCTAATAACATAACTCAGTATATTACCAAACTTAATTTGTACCAACACGCAATGCAATACGTCTTTGGGAGCAACATTTAGATTTTTTTTTAATTTTTACTTTCATTTTTAAAAAACATTCAAAAAAGTAGGTAATTTACTTAAAGATTCAGGTCCAATATTCCAAATTTTTTAATTACTAAGTTATAACATACAGCTTAATAACATATTGTACCTTACTAATTTTATACCTTTTAATTTCCCATTCAGTAACTTCTAGGACTTTGAACTAATCCATTCTTCTTTCAAGTCAGTTTATTACCAACGTACAACATTCTTGTTATCATCTGCAATGCCTTTTCAAGTTTACAAACCAAATACAATCAGTATCACTAAAGGGTTTTTGTGCATATTGTTTTTCCATTCCAAAGGTGCTTCATTTTTACGGGGGTGAGGCGGGGAGAAGAAACAATGTCACAGCTGATAATTCATTCAAACAGTGACACTGCATCTTAAAGCATCAGTAGGGAACAATCTAGTCCCAGTAATAAGACCATATTTTATACCCAAATGAAAGAGTTCCTTTCATTTACATTTTAAACATGAGTTTTACCTTTGATCTATTAGCAAAACCTTTCCATCTGCTCTTTGACTGCCTGGCCCTCAGCATATTAATCCTAATCATGTTCATTTTTCACAGCAACATGCCCTTATACATTATACTGAAAACCCTTAGCACCACGCTTAGATACTAATACTTTGAGCTTAATAAGATAGTTAAGTTTATTGGAAACTTACTGTGTGCTAGGCATTGCACTTATTAGCTATTACTTGCACGTGAATTGTTTTAACCAGGGTTGTAAGCTCAAAGGCCTATAGGGTATTTGAGTAAATGAATAAAGTGAGCTGGGTATACGAAAGATCAGCTGTTCAGATGTACATCTGAACCTCATTACTGAATTTCTATAAGCATCTAACATGATACAAACACATATAATATTGGAGATTATATATTTAACTAAAATTAGAAATACATATTAAGCATCTGCTTTCTACTCCTCTCTGCCTTCCAACTCTGTTTCCCTGAACCGTTAAAACACAGGTCAGAGGCTACAGGGCCCTGGGCACCAGGGATCAGGAAACAGTTCCAGATCCTTGCTGAAACCTCCGAAGAGGTCAGTTCTTTGGGCCTTTCCTTACTCTCTCCCTGAACATGCTTCTCAGGCTTCCCTGAGAAAACAATTTATACTTTTTGTCTATGAATCAATGAGTGTCACTACATTTAAAAAAAATTTAAGTGAGAATGTTTCATTATGAATTTCTCTTCTATATAACTTATGCTTTCACAGAGGGCCAAAAACCTGACACTTTTTTTGGTCCAAAGGTCAATGTCAGGTCTTTCATTTGCCATTGCAGTATGCCTTGTACTGGGAACAAAACTTAATTTTTTAAAAACAGCTGCTAATAAATGTAGAAACTTTCAACAGTGCCCTAAATCCTCGCTTTAAAAAAGAGTTTTATTTTAGAGTATCTAATCCTGAGAGATCTGCAGATCTACTATTCTAAAATACTCATACTTAGTTTTTAGTACCTTAGTGCACTACAGTTTATATATTCCATCTGTAGTTCCTCAACTACACAAATTAATTGATAAAGGTAACTGAAAAGGTTAGCTCATTATCTTAAGAGTTTGAAACCAGGATTTTGTTTTGTTTTGAACTGAACCTTCGAGTCTACAAATGTAGGAGTGTTGTTTAGGTCGCCACTTTCATTTTTGGAAAACAACCTCAGAATAGGAAAGGGGCCAGACTGTTCTTGCTGAATTGGTTTTCCAAACATAAATTTCACAAGGAATGAGCAATGAGAATCATACATTTGTCTTTACATAAGTAATAATGTCAGCTAACAAAGCCAAGTCTCTGATCCAATCTTTGTTTAGGAACTGAGTTGGGAAATTTCTTTTGGGTGGCAAAAAGAATTGACACCATAAATACATACAACTGGGGAGTGGAATATTTATATCTGTGGCTTCATCATCTACAGTAGAATCTGCCACAAATGATTCCCCTTTTTCACACGTTGTGCCCTTCTAAGCCTTCATTCAACATGCTGAGCAATGGTATTTCTGGTTGGGTTTATATTTTTAAACACTTGTTTAAGTGAATGTTTACATTCGGTCAAAATTCTTTCACAAAGTTACCAGCTGCAAAAGATTTTGATGCCCAGATAATTCCTTCATGTAACACATAACCACATCACACAGCAGCACTGCTCATTTTGTTTGAAAATAAACACAGACCCTATTGAACCGTTAGTCCTTTGTCTAGTTCATTAAGTTTTCCATCACAATCTTTTCCATATGCTTCTCATGGATCTTTGTGTGGTTTCATTCTCTGTGGTTTCCATTCAACAGAAATATACTTTACACATTGAATTCATAGAATTACTCCTCACATCTACAAAGAAGCAAGCTCTCAATCATTTTCTCGGCCATATGGCCTTCTTGGCATAGGTTTCATTTTTCCACTTCAGATAGAAACATGGGTATGAGAAATACTTTACTTTCTTCTTTAATATAAGAACAACAGAGCAAGCACAATGACACATGGCAACTCCTTAGCCCATCCTCAGCATCCAGAGATAATGGTGTTCATGCCCCACCTAATGAGGCAGCAGATGCTCTGCCACCAGCTATAGCAGCTAACTGTTGCCATGGGGGAATGCTGTCTCTACGTGGCCAAAGTTTCCAGTGTTTCAAGAAAAGTTAGGAATCTGGATTTTTGTGTAAATCTCCTGATTTTTTTTTTCATGTAGGCAACTAATGAAATTCTGAATGTAGGTAACTAATAAAAACAAATTTTATTTATTTATTTTTTATGATATCACTCACATGCGGAATCTAAAAAAAAAAAAAAAATTTTTTTAACACTGTCAGGGCCAAGTTTTGCAGACCCAACAAAACACATCGGAGGGCAAAGTTCAGAATTAATGGCAGATTTTACATTGAACTTTCATGACCAATCTATGACATACTTTATTATCCCCCTTTTACAAATGAGGAAATGGACTCTATAAGAGATTAAGTTACTTGCACAAGGTCATGAAGAGAACAAGCCATGAAGGGCAGGGGTTCAGATCTGAATTCTACTCAAAGGAGTCTGACTCCACAGCCCGAGGTCCTAACCACCTGCTCTATGCAGATATATAAGATACACATAAGGCGGACCAGAAAGTTGTGTGCTGATCTGTCCTTATATCCATATGATAAATGGTAGAATCTGAGGGTAAACAGATAAACAAAGGGACAAATAAAACAGATTGGTCTGGTCAACCCAGAGCACATCAGGACTACATTTACTTTCATTCTGTACTTGATGTTTCCACCTGATATTGCTCAAGATAGAATGAGCCTTTTGTCAGTTACATTAAAATGGGATTTAAAATGAGTTTCTTATTATATATAATACTAAAACCCCAGTGTTTTTCAGAGGAAGAAGAGGCTACTGCTGGTGTACCAGAAGACTTGGTATGCATATATGTATTTATTCATGCAAATGTTTGAAAATGCTTGAGCTATTCTTTAGCCTTTATCAGATTCACAGAGAAAAAGGAGCTCTGAATAAAACTATTTAAAATACTATCGACTGACTTGTAGCACCTTCAGGTTTTTGTAAGATTGACAGTTTTTGTTTTTTTTTCTAAGATTGACTGATTTTTAAACCATATTGCCAACCTGGTTCAAATCTGTTTACCAGTAGTTCTCTCACAAAACACTGCAACATTCTCTCCCACAACTCTTTTTTTAACTTACGTAAGGTAGGTGCCTCTGGTGTTGACATTCATCATCAAGTCCACTCTCTTCGTAGGTGTTTCCAACGTGTTGGTCAAGCTAATAGCACTGGCATTATTCACCAAAATATCAATTCCTGTTTTCAAATAATCAACTTCCTATTAATGTGATTTAGATATCATAATAAAAATAAGTAAAAGAAAAAATTTATATCATTGAATTCTAAGTTCTCAAATACTTTTTAGATAATCTGACTGACCAATACATCAATGCAAGACTCAGTACCCAGGTGATTTTCACTGGCACCGTGGTGACTGGTGATCACCAGGGCTCCACAAAAAACTACAAGGCAGCTTACTCCTCGGTGGTTTACAGTTTCCATGCTTATCTCTCTCCTTGTCTCCCAGAACCTTAGGTCAGCTTCCTTATAGTTTTCCTTCCTCTTTATCATCTTTCCAAGGCTTTCCCTCCTTCCATGCACATCTGAATCCCTCCCCTCTAAGGCCCTTATGTAAATGAAAGCTCCTTTCTGGTCCTGGGAACTGGGAAAAGAGAAATGACCTAGACTTTCAATTCCAAACAAAGTCATCAAGTTTGTTTTGGTAACTCATACACAAAGTAAATCTACTTTAACAATTATTTCTGCATATTGTAAGCAGTTCCTACCCACACATTTTATTTATAGTTATAAGCTTAGTTAAATAATGCTAAGCAAAAATGCTAAAATAAAAAAGCATCTCAAACACATCTCTGTGTTTCTACATGGTCCTCGTAATTCTTTTTAAAGGGCATTTAATATTCCATCAAATAAAAAAAATCACAGTTTCTGCTGCTGGGTTAGACTGTTGCCATAAACATCTTTTTTTACCCTCTTAACTTTGCTATGCCCCTCCCTCACAATATGTGGGAAATGGTTTAAATAAGGTTATTATACTCACTAAAACATTTTAGGAATATGCACCCTTTCTTCATATTTAGTAACATTATCAAATTTTGATTATATCATCATTTTCCAATTCCCATATTCTTTGGTACAGAGTTTGTGCTACTAAGGTTTTCTTTAAATGTGTCCTTAGAATAACTTTGGATTCAACTACATTACATTTATAGCTTCCTTATAACAAAACTCAAACTCAAGTAAGTCATCTGTGTATCTGAGACAATTTCCAGGTCCTGTGATTACCAGCTTTCCTGAAGAACAGAACATAATGATGGTTGCCTTTACAAGTGACAAAGATCCGTGAGAAGAATTTTTAAATCCAGGACATGCTTCTCAATTCACAAAGCTAGGAACTGCTTAACCACATCACTAAGAGACAACGACTGAGTGGCTACTCTATATAAGGCACTCTGCTAGGGCCAAAAAGACAAGCGAAATAATAAACACTAAAGGAGAAGCCAGGTGGGAGCAAAGCAAATCGAGTGTGGGTCTGGGTGAGATGCTGGACCAATGGGTATGTACACCACCTGCGTAGAATTACCCCACTCAGGGAGATGAAGCAAATGAGTGTTGATCCAACCAACAGATTCCTTGGGCAAATCCAGACTTGACTGACTTCATCTCTCTCACTATGGGACAGTAAGTGACAAGCATGGTGGCAGAGCAAGCATCTGGGCCCAAAAGCAAAGGAAGTCGATGAGGAATGAAGATATACTGACTGGGCAAACTGTACTTGACTTGCCAATGATAAAGGAAAAAAAGGTCCAATTAAGAAGTTAAAATTTCTAAACTCAGATGGGTTAAATTAAAATGGATCAGGGAACAATAGTGGGAAATGATACCAAAAAAGCATATATATATATATATATATATATATACCTGCTGCAGAAAATAAAAAGGGTGGCAGGAAAGAATGTTTCTGTGGCTTATGAAACTGCATAATTTACTCAAGGCCTGAAAAACTCTGAAGATGAGGGGAAGGCAAGGTGATAGGAGTACCACGGGGCACAGACCTGCTCCCCGAGGGCACAGGTCTGAAAGCACCATCAGAACTCAGGACTTTGTTAAGGACAATTCTCCAGCAGAGAGGAATATCAGGACAAAGGCAGTCTTCCCCAAAAGGCAAAATGCAAAGGCCTGCAGAACTCCAAACCGGAAAACTGCATCAGCAGCAACCACAGTATGGAACTAAAACCAAAAAACCAAAAAACAAAAGCTTAGGATCTCTGTGGAAAAAGAACACAAAGAGGGGAAAAAAAAGCAGGCTATGTAGCATCTCACAAATGTGGCATCCCTCCTGATTAGAAGAGCAGCAGCTGAGTTGCTGAACAGAGCTCACTCTTAATTCTGCATTGTTATGCCAGAAAAGTAGAAGTTAATGGGCAAATGGAAAGCAAAACATTTTAAATACATTAAAGTGGGTCCTGAGGAGGAGGAAAGGAAATCTTAGGAAAGAGTCCAAAATAGAAGTAACTCCACTGCCTATCTATACCTTTAGCAAGAAGACAGAAGTGTTTCAGAGGCTCATCCCAACAACAGCAAAATGTACTAGATCTTTTTTTTTCCCCACAGAGATAAGGAAAGTATATCCTCTTAATTGATGATTTCTACCAATTGAGCTTTAAGTTCCAGGATATGAATGCCAAATTAATAATACAAATCAATTGGCTTCCAAAGAAACAAAAACCACAATTTCCTTTTGTCCCTTCCATTTTCTGTCTCCTCCTGGGAAAAGCAGGTCACAAGACAGACAAAGTTGGATTCATCCAACACTGAAGATGCTGAAGAAACAATACCAGGTTCAGTGGAAGACAACCTAAACTACAGTGGCTAAAAAAATCTAGACCATCCACGTATCTCAGTGAAACCTCCTTGGCTGGGACAAAATGGAGTAAGAAAATCGGAGAGGAGAGATTTCTGGGCTTTAATTCTTCCAAGAAGGAGATTTCAGTTTGGGTCTTTAAGTTCCCTGCGGCAAACAAAAGGAGAAAAAATCCATTTGTGAGATTTCGATAACTCTATAGGAACCCAATACTGGAAAGTGGAGGAGTTTCACATTGTGACACTCAGGCACACTGTCATTAGCACATAGTGTGTAACTCTGTCTGGTGAACCAGACTAGAAACACACCTAGAACTCAAGATGGGAAAAAAAAAGTGGATGAATTCTGGGCCTGTACAGTGTAGCCATGAATATCTTTAACATCCTCTTGATCCATTTCAGAGGTTTCCTAGGACAACACCAGACAAGAACTGAGGTTTTGTTGATGTTTTCCAGTAGAATTATATGACAGAAACAAAGATTGAGAAAGGGCTCAGACAATGCAGCCCTCCCCAGTATTCTGATGACCTCAGTCTCTGAGAAGGATCAACTCACCCTCAGTTGATAGATTCAATGGATCAACAGAAAGAAATGAAACTGGACGAATACAGAGGAAGGAAAAGCTCCAGTCTTCCACCCTTATCCACCTTCCCTCTTAATTCCTCCCTAAAAAAACAAATGGCTATACTAATTAGGTCAAATCCTAATTGGCACTAATTGGCCACTTTTACTAGTAGGTGAAGCCATTTTAGATAAAAGGTCCTACACATGAATGTGGCTTCCTCTCCTTCCTCTTTCATATCTGCAGCCTTATCAGTAAGGAAAAAAAACCCCAAACACTCAGTAATTTTGCATTCTCTCTCCTTTTCTCTCATGGGCATTCACATTACTTTGGGAAATGTTGTGAGCCATGGGTAAGATTTTTGAATTTAAAGGAAGAGGCCCCATTTAAGCCAAAGCTTTGTGTTCCAGTCCAGAATAACACAGCACTCTGCATTGGGACTTATGAGCACAAGCCTTGCTAACAATAAAGCATTACCTTGTTTCCCACTGGCCAATATCCTTTGCGTGTACATATAGTCTCTGGAACATTATTGGGAGAGAATGGTAATGTCTGGGGCAGGATGTGGACATGGCTAGGTGCTTTGCTATAATACCATCAAAGCCTTAGCTCGACACCCAATGCCTGCCTTCAAGGAGCTTATGAACCAATTGAGGAGAAAACTAAGATTCAAAGTCGTGTAAGACAAGGATCAAAGGAATGTTTTAGGAATTCAGAGAAAAAAAAATGTACACTTCTGATTAGTTGGTGCGGTCAGAAAATTGGGCTTCATAAAGGAGATGAGGTTTAAGCACAAAAAGGTAGGATTTCAAAAGACAAAGAAGGGAGCGTTTTAGGAAGGATCAGAAGTGGAGGAGTGGGCACTGGAGGGGCCTCAGGAATGGGGAAAGAAAAAATTGAGACAAAAAATTAAAGGTAAGGAAATGAATGGAAACTATTTTGGCTGGTATAGAGAGTTTACATAGAGGTATAGTAGAAAGACAGAATCAAAAAGTCTGTTAAGATCAGAATGTGAAATATCTCAAATGCCAATAGTTTATCTGTACTTTATCCAATAAATATAAAAAGGTCATTAAAAGATGGTTACACGAGTTGGGGAGAGACAAGTGGATGGGACCTGGGGAACTACTTGGTTAGATGTATGTTATTGTCAAGGTCCTAACTTTATTTTGGATGGTAAATTTATAATACTATTCAATATAATTTTTAAACAATTATTCAAATAGTCATCAGATGGTTTTAAGCTGTGTTTGTGTATGAACAAATACTCATTTCTGGTTATACACCAAAGACTGAGAAAGTAAAATAATAATCAAAAGAAAGTTAAAAATGAAAATGATAGTTACAACCTGTATTTTACCAAGAATCAATAATTATTTCAGAATTAAAGCACTACCTCCAAATTTCTCGACTGCTTTCTCCACTGCATTGTTGATTTGCTGTTCATCTCTCACGTCAACAACACATGGCAAGGCCTTTCCTCCAGCTGCTTTGACTACAAAGGATAAACAAAGACGCATTAAAGCGTTCAAATATTAAACCTTTCATCAGGATCAAACTTCTGACACAGGAGTCAAAAGAAAAAAGTATCCTATTTTCGGAACATCAATATAAATTACTATGTCTTATAACTGCTAGTGATTCTGCCCTACAGTAGGACAGACTGACAAACCCATAACCAGCTGCAGACTAGCTTGGCCAACTCTATAAAAAAAAAGGACAGTAATTTTTTTTAATGTTATTAAAAATAGGGAAAAAAAGAGAAGGAAATTTAACAGAACTTCATTACGGAAAATTCCTAAAAATTTACAAAAATATTAAAAAATACTACAATGAATTACCATGAATCCATCAGCTACCTTTAATGATTAATGTTTTGCCAGTTGTTTGTTTAATTTATGTACTCCCAATCCTGTTTTGTTTTTTGCTGGTGGTTTTTTTTTTTTAAATATATTTTTATCAAAGTATAGTCAGTTTACAATGTTGTGTCAATGTCTGGTGTATAGTACAATACTTCAGTCACACAGGAACATACATATACTCACTTTTGTATTCTTTTTCACCATAGGTTACTACAAGATATTGACTATGGTTCCCTGTGCTTGACAGTATAATCCTGTTGTTTTGCTGGTGTATTTTAAAGCAAATCCCAGGAATCATTGCACTCACAATTACTTCATATATATCCCTCTAACATAAACAAAATGGAACTAATGTAACTAGCCAAATTAGTAATATGAACTGAAGTTGAATATTTAAGCCCTTCCTCCTGGCACAATGCATTGAACATAAGCACTGAATAACTATTTGTGAACTGAAAGTATTAAAATAATGATTTGTGAATTGTGCAGAGAATAACTAACATGGAGAGTGTTTTCAAAGGGTTCACATCACCCACCTCTCAAATTCTTTCTCTACTTCCACTCTTCTACTTGGTGCTCCCATCCCAGAACCACTGCCCTCATGAGACATGATTTTTTTTTTTTAATTTTGTTTTTTGCAGGGGTGGTAATTAGGTTTACTTATTTGTTTTATTTTTAGAGGAAGTGCTGGGGATTGAACCCAGGACCTTGTGTATGCTAAGCATGTACAAGCTATACCCTCCCACTTAAGACATGATTTTTAATGTGAGTCTTTCATATCGTTCAAAAGTGCTAGGGAGAAAAATGGTTCCCAATCACTGCTCTAAGGTGATAAAACAATTCCTTAACCAGACAAAATTATTTTTAGGGTAGACTTCAAACAGATATAATTAAATTCTCCAGCAAATTCTCTGTATATTGAAATCAGAGACAGGACATTTCACAAATGTCATTGTCACACTCACTTTCTTCAGCAGCAGTATAGATTGTGCCTGGAAGTTTGGGGTGTGCCTGGGTTGTCTTTGCAGCAATGACAACATTTGCTCCATCCTTTGCTGCTTTCAATGCAATAGCTTTGCCAATGCCACGGCTGGCACCTGTTATAAAAATTGTACATCCTGCTAGCTTCCTGCAATAGAAAAAATGTGACCTTATTAGAAATCTCAGTGTTTTTATTTACTTACCAGTATCAGGAATTCATACACATTTTCACAACATATATGTTTCCTCCTCTGTCAAACTTTCTCTAAACCCTTCTCCCTCCCCATCTAATAGCTAATAACTCTACTCCCATTTTACAACGATTTACAAATTATATATCACAACAGCAGTGGCCAGTCTTGCTGATTTGGCAAGTAAATCTGCTCAAATGAGAAATAAATCTTAAAGAAAAATGAGGAATGAATAAACTATACATAAACAAGTTTTTTCCCACAGTAAAAATGTTAAAGCTTATTTTTGAGTACTTGCATTATGAATAAATATCATCTTCAAAATTTTTCAAATTTTCTACAGTGAATACATACCACTTAAAAATATCTAAAAGCAAATAACTGCTTAATGGATGCTCATCATTGTTTATAAAAGCTGAGTGGAAACAACATAAATGTCCATCAAATAAAATGTATACACATGCAACAGGGTACATTCAGCAATAAAAAGGAATGAAGTACCAATTTGCACTACATGCATGAAGCTTGAAAACATTATGCTAAGGGAAAGAAGCCAGTCAGAAAGGACCACATATTGTGCGCTTCCATTTATATGAAATGTCCAGAACAGGTAAATCTATAAGACACAAGGATTAGTGGTTGCCGAGGGCAGGGGGGTGGGGAGGTTGGGGGTTGACAGCTGAGGGGTGCTCCTTTCAGGACAATGAAAACTTTTAAAATTGATTGTAGGGACAGTTGCACAACTCGGTGAACATACTAGAAGCCACTGAATTTTAAATGAGTAAATTGTGTGGTGTATGGCATATGATTTATATCTCAATAAAGCTGTTAATCAAACAAACCTAGAAAGCTAGTAAAGAACTCAGGGTATGGATCGAAAGATCCTCTGATCCAAATGTACTGAGGAAAGCTGTGCCTGCTCATTTTTCATGTCCATCCATCTTTAAACTTTCTACTTATTCACTTGCTAGATGAGAAGAAAAGATCTGAAATAAAGTCAGATAACAAAGAAGGAAATCCACTTTCTTGTTTACTTCTTGAAGCAAATAAAAAAGCTTGTCTAAGGAGAATGATGAGAGGACAGCAAAAGTGACAACGACAAAGAGAAAGAGGGACAGTAACCAGAGACGAGGGTAATAGATAAGCAGGCTTGTTAGCAAAAAAAAAAAAGAAAACTAAGGTCCTTGCCAAGATCAGAGAATTACCCTCCAGAAGCAAGTTCGGAGGTAAAAGTGGGAAAAGGGCTTTAAAATAAGGAACTGGTTTCTCTAAAACAAAAGGAAGTGGAAAAGTAAGGAAGAGACAGAGGTGGTCTTTTAGTGATCTTTCACTGTTTTTAGTGAAAAATGGCAAAAATACAGAAAGGATATAAACTAATATGTACAGTTTAAAGGAAATAAAATGTCAAGAAATAGAAATAGAGTATTACCCCCACCCCAGAAGTCACCTGTCTAGTCCTCAGTTCTGCCTCTTCCTCCCTTACCCTACAAACTAACAACTACTTCAAATATTATTACTCATTCCCTTGTTTTGTTTTGTTTTTTAACTATTCCTAATAGCTATATATCTATGCCTAAGGAGGGGCCAAATCCAATCCTCGATCTATCTGTATATAGAACTAGAGCCAAGAATGGTTTTCACAGATTAACATTTATGATTAATTTGATGATAAAGAACACTGATTTTTAATCCCAATTAAGTGAAACATTATCTCTATAATCCCTATTATGGACTGAACTGTATCTACCAAAATATTAGGACATGTTGAAGTCCTAATGTCCAGTACCTCAGAATGTGACCTTATTTGGAAACGGTTGTTGCACATGTAATTAGCTATGATGAGGTCATAATGGAGTGAGGTGGACCCATAATCCAATGTGGCTGGTGTCTTTATAAGAGGAGGGAAGACTATGTGAAGACAGACACACAGGGAGAAGACCATGTGATGACAGAGGCGGAGACTGGAGTGATGCGCTACCAGCTAAGAATGCCAAGCACTGCCAGCTATCACCAGAAGCTCGGGAGAAGCAAGGAAGGATTCGACTCAGAATTTCAGAGGAAGCATGTCCCTGCTGACACCTTGACTTCACAGTTCTAACCTCCAGAACTATAAGAAAATAAGTTTCTGTTTGAAGCCACTCAATTGCTGGTACTTTGTTGCAGCAGCCCTAGGAAACAAATACACCTCTCCTTGTCCCCAAAAGTTTAATTTTTCTCACGAGTACATCTTTATTACCAGAAAATGTAGTATTGAATTGCACCAATAAAAATACTGTGGATATTAGTTTTCTCTCTTGTTATACATACATCTCATATAGGTGATGTTATATATACATCTCTTACATCTACAAATGCTCTCCAATTTTGCCTCTTGCCTGAAATCTAAAATATTTACTATCTGGCCCTTTACAGAAAAAGTTTGCCTAACCATGATCTAAACAATACACTGTGTAATTTTTGCCTAATGCTGAACTTTATATATATAACAGATTCATACAGTATATGTTATTATATGATTTGCTTCCTTCACAAAGATTGTTTGGAGATTGATTTACATTGGTGCAAACAGTTACACTTATTTTAATTAATATACAATATTTCACATATGAACATACTAATTAATATACAATATTTCACATATGAACATACTATAAATTACTTATTCATTCTACTGTTTATGGACTTTGGGGATGGTCTCCAGGTTGTTTTTTTCCTATTATGAACAATGGTGCTAAAAATAATCTTGCATACATCTTCCAATCACATGTGCAAAAGTTTCTCTAGGGCATATACATATGGGTAAAACTGCTGGATTACAGGACATTGCTGGAGATTAAATATGGCCACAAATCCTTTGGCATTCCTTCCATTAAGAGGAGGAGTGTACCTTCTCCTTCCCTTTGAGTCTGGGTTAACCTTATGACTGTTTTGAACAATAGAATGTGATGAAAGTGATAATCTGGGATTTTCAAGCCCATGCTATAAAATGGCCTGCAGCTTCCACTTTCTCCTGGAAGACAGGTGGCATGCTGCAAAGAAGATAAACAGATTATCAAATGATGAGAGGCCATGGGAGAGAGGCCCAAGAGGGTGAGAGGTCACTTAGGACATTTTAGCCGCAGCCAAGAACCCAGCTACAAGCAGCCATATGAAAGACTTCAATTTATAATATGTAGAGTGGAAGAACCCAGTCAACCCAAAGAACTGTGGATAATAATAAACCACTGTTGTTTCAAATCATTAAGTTTTGGAGCAACTTGTTACAGCAATAGAGAACTGAAACACACACCAAAGTTCTTTCCCAAATAATGCCAAACCTCTTTCAAAAGTGGTTAATATTACTACCAGCAGCAATATCTGAGTATGAGAGTCCCACTGCTCCACACTTCCCCAACAGTTGTCAGACATTTAAAAATTCTGCCAATCTGGTAAATATGATATGGTATATCAGTGTGGTATTATTTTGCATTTCCCTGATTACTAAAAAGGCTGAATATATTTTCATACATTAATAGTCCCTATGTTCTTCTGTGTAATTCCTATTAATTTGTTTTCCTCATCTTTCTACATAGTTAACTTTTTCCCTAATGACTCATAAAAGTCTACAAACTCTATAGATTTAAAGTATTTTTTCATTTATGGCTTGCCTTTCACAATCATTACAGTATATTTTGATGAGCAGAAATTATTTTCATGTAGCAGAATTTATGAATCTTTTCCTTTACAGCCAATGTTTTTGGGGTTAAGAAATTCTTCCCTAATCACAATTACATTAGTTTTACCTTTCAAAAATGTTATGGTTTATCCTTTAAGTTTTAGTCTTTAATCTACCTAGAATTAATTTTTGTGTATGAATTGAGGTAGGGATCCAATTACATTTTCCCCATATGTATAACCAACTGTCCCAGTCTGAAAAGCCCATATTTCCTACAGTTCTTGAATGCCAGCTTTGTCATAGACTGACTCTCCATAACTATATAGATCTGTTTCCCTGCTCTCTACTCTTCCATTCAGCTACATGAATTGTACTGTCCTAATTATAAAGCTTTATCAGTCTTAATAACTGATAAAGCAAATATTTCCAATCTGTTCTTCCTCAAGAGTTTCTTGGCTATACCTGGCCCTTTGCTTTTCCACATGTCTTTTAGAATCACCTTATTTAACAGCACAAGCAAAACCAGTCGGGATTTTGGTAGAAATTGTAATAAATCTACAATTCAGTATGGGAAGAAATGACATCTTTGTGACACTGAGTGCTCTGATCCATGAACATGGTATCACTATTTATTTCACACCGGGAAGCACACAATGTCTCTCTGTTATCAAAAGCTAATGTTAATTTTAACCATCCAATGATGGTGCTAATCAGATTTTTCCACTGTGTAATTACTGTTCTTTCCCTTGCAACTAACAAACAATCAGTGCAAATGTAGTTAAAGTTCATTTTTAAATTTTTATTATGCAATGTTCAAATATATTCAAAAATAGAGAAAATATTTAAATTAAAATAAGCTCTTATGCTTAACAATTCAATATTTCAAAATTTTGAAAATGATTATCAGAAAGCTAATCTCAGAAGTCATATAATTTCACCTATAAATGCTTCAGGATGCATGTCTAACTTTTTACATAACAGTGTTATCATTACAACTAAGAAAAATAACAATGATTCCTCAATATCAACTAGTACCTAACCATATGCAAAGTTTCATAACTATCTCAAAAATGTCTTTTTACAGTTGATGTGATCAAATCAGGCTCTTTATAAGGACCTCATGTTGCATTCAGTTGTTACAGATATACCTCAGGGGTATTGTAGATTCGATTACAGACTACTACACTAAAGTAAATATCGAAATAAAGCAAGCCACGCAAAGTTTTCAGTTTCTCAGTGCATGTAAAACTTATATTTACACTACACTGTAGTCTATTAATTGTGTAATAGCACTATCTTAAAAAAATGTACTTACCTTAACTAAAAGATACCCTATTGCTAAAAAATGCTAACCATCATCTGACAAAGCAGGATTGCCACAAATCTTCAGTTTGTAAAACACACTATTTGCCAAGTGCACTAAAGGTGTCGGACAATAAAGTGAGGTATGTCTGTATATCTCATAAGTTTCTTTTAATCTAGAACAGCTCCCCTTCCACCTTCTTTATGCCATTTATTTGCTGAAGAATATAGATCATTTGTCCTGTAATACATCCCAAACTCATTCTGAACTTCTCATTTTTATTGCCATTGAATTGTATCTCTTACTGATTTTTGCTTGGGTGGAGAAATCTAATTTTCCTCACTGACTTTTATTTCCTGAAAATTTGTCAAACTCTTATTAAATCTAATAATTTAGTAATACATTACTTTGGCTTTCTACATAGATAATCATATCTTCTGCAAACACAACAGCACTGTTTCATTCCCATCCAAGTATTTTTTCTCTCTTTCTCATGCCTTATTTACTAAAGAAAGAAGAAAAGAGTTCCCAGATAGAAGATCTGAGGTGCAAGGAGAAATAAAAATGAAAGATATTGGTAAATTAAGTACAGAAATCTAAAAAATAAATATTTATAATGATAATTAGTAATAATATAAATAATATAACAAATAATTTTGTGGATTAAAAAAGAATTAAAATATATTGCTATAATAATAAGTTAAAAATGGAGTGACTGAAGTTTAACTTTTGTAGGTCCTTGTATTGTTTGGGAAAATGATAAAATTTTATTTACTTTAGACATTGGTAATTTACATACATGTTAAAATTTCTACGTTAAACACAATAAATAGAAATCCCAGACCTTAACACTTTTTGGGACAAGAATGGGAATTGGATCAAGACATGGCTTTCTGGAAGAAAAAGGGCCTCATGAGGTAAGAGGATAGAAAAAAGACTCCACTAACACACTCTTGCCCATGGCAGAGGGGAGAGTAAGGATCCTCATCTGTTCTGTTCAAGAAGCAAACCAACAAGAGGTAGGTATACACTATAACACATAATAGTATTCGAATTACTACACTAACACCACTACCAATAATCAATCTACTAAGTTCAAGATTTCTTTGTATTCTTTTTTGTCTTTAGGATAAATCCCTCTAAAAGCGTATAAGTCACCATGCTAAAAATTAACTCTTTTTCTCTGTATGTTTATGTAATAAATTTGGCATAACAGTTAAGTTCCTTTGTTTATGTTGGCATCCATTTTATTTTACCTCTTTCTCATCTTTGATGAGGGATGGTGTGAAACACATACATAGTTCAAATGTCAAAATCTTATAAACGTGTACACTCAAAGAATTTTAATCCCTTGCCTGTAGGTAACAAGATATCTTAATCTCCAGCTTATCCTTCTTATATTTCTTTTTTCAAAAATATGCACACACATACATATAAATACGTTTGTGTGTAATTTCCCCCTTTCTTATACAAAAGGTAGTATACACAGAGTATTAAAGTGATTTTTTAAATGTTAAGTATTTAGATGAAAATGTCCCAATTACTGCTCTAAAAAGCCCTATCCCTTTACCTTTGGTCTAGTTGGATTGATTCCCAGTAGGATAAAGGACATTTTCCTGCTCAAAGCCTCAGGCATTGGCAGAAAGAAAGGTGAAGTCAATTTCTCCTCTTAACCTGAAGACCGGGTCTGTACTACTAAAGAACTCCACCATCTCTAAAGCATTAGAACCAAAGTATATAAGGTGAGAAAGAAAAAAGGTTGCAAATTTCTCCATACCACTGGTAGATGGCTGAAACTCGCTAACGCAGAGCTAACCTACACTACAATTTACCAAAATTCTCTGGTACCTCAAAATCATGGTAAATGTAATGAAACTTTTAAAAACGAAAAAAAATCACTTAAAAAAAACTATACAAGCTATAATTTATTTAGAAAAGTAAACATCAAAAAATAACCAGGAAAATTCTGAAAAAGAAAAAAAAAGCCAAATGAGGCAGGAACTAGCCTTTCAAGATACTACAATATTTTATAAAACTAGAGCAATTAAAATAGTTTGGTACTTGTACATGATCAAAATAATAGAATAAACAAGTCAAGAAACAGACCCCTACACATACAAGAATTTAGCATATGATAGAAGTCGAACTTCTAACAGAAAGAAAAAAATAACTAGTCAGTCAGTGATGCTGGGACAACTGCACAGCCAGCCATCTGAAACAAAATGAAGTGGGTTCTCCAGACTCGTATGGAAAATAGTACTTCATCTTAGACAGATAAAAATCTGAGTGGAAAAAAAACCCCCACAAAAATACTAGAAGAATATTTACCAATTAAAACAAAATGTTAGTTTAACATGGCCTCATCCTTTTAGCTCTGTCACAAAAACACAAAAGCCTTAAAAGAACAGATTGATAACTGTGACTCAATAAAAGCACGTTTCTACATGATAAACAAATAGTGTAATCAAACTCAAGATGCAATGAGAAAAACATTTGTAATATACATGCCACAGAACAAGTGTTTTTACGCTAGAGATCTCAGAGATCAATCAAAAACATAACTGTGTAAGACAGGCAAAGAAAAAGATACACAGAGGGCTTTAAACCAGGATTTCTCAATCTCTACTCTATTGACATTTTGGACAAGGTGATTCTTTTTTGTAGGGGGCTATTCTGTGCATTATAGGATGTTTATCAGAATCCCTAAACTCCACCTGTTAGAGGTCAGTAGCATCCCCCACCCCAGTTGTAACAATCAAAATTGTTTCCAGGTATTTCCAAATGTCCTATGGGCATCAAAATTGCTCCTTGATGAGGACTACTGCTTTAAACATTTAAAAAGATCCTCATCCTCACTCTTTGATGCAAATTTTAACTATAACCATAAATTTTTCTCTCTAGTCAGATTTTTATTACCAAAATAAGCATTTTTGATATCACACATTTTGCTGCTTGCCAAAATGCTGGATTAGGAAATCTCATTTTTCCTTTTGGGTGGGCAACCTCTCTGGAGGGCTGTTGGTATTAGCTATCAAAATCAAAAGTGCTTATACTCTGAACCAGCAAGGTCCACTTTCAAGAATTTCCCATATAGATACACTCAAATATTTGCAAACAAGTGAATACAAAGATAATCATTACAGCAAAGATGGAATAACAAAAAACTAGAAATGATCTGGTATCCAATGATAGGGGCTAGTGAAATAAATTATGGTACGCTGATAGAATATTATGTAACTATTAAAAGGGAGGAAGATCTACATGTGCTGAAAATGTGTCCCCCAAGACATATTAGGTAAAAACAGCAAGGCCCAGAAGGTACTTTGCTACTATTTTTTAAAGTGAGGTGTTTGTGTGTGTTTAGGGTGGTGTACCATACAAGTTTATAAATGTGTAGAATATCTTTGGAAACCAGAGATATTCCATGCATATCAGAGAGTAAGTGCGGGGACTGAAAGTTAAGGACGAGGAAACTCACGTTTTACCGTACACTCTTTCCAGCTGTTTAAGTGTTTTGCCCATGTGCCTATATGTTTGGACATGTCACTGAGATCAAAACACTCCCATACTGCATAGGAACAGAAAGTAGAACGGGACGGGGAAAAGGGAGTCGTTTAACAAATATTGCTAGTAACAACTTGCTGCTCAAGTTGAAAAAGTTCCAGAGATTGGCTTCACAACAATCCGGACATACTTAACACTAATTATCTGTACACATAAAAAGGATTAAGATGGCAAATTTTATGTTACCTGTATTTTACAACTAAACGTCTTTTTAAAGTGAAAAAATGCCCCCCAAAGATACTCATACTTGTTTGTTAGTAATTTTAAATCACTTTTTAAACACCCCATTATTTTATTCTTCCAGATTTGAGAGCTCCGAAAAGGTGGAGACTTATTAGGTGCCCGAGTGCTCCAGTGACCTTTCACCTAGAACTCGTAGGTCTTCGGCAAGACACGCAGCTATAGCTAAACCCAGGGTGGAACGCGCCTTGGAGGCGGCGGGGTAACCCACTCTGTGGATCCTTTCCCCGTGGAAGAGATTTTAACTTTGCTGCCACCCCGAATCACACACTTTGCGTTACTTTTCACGAGTTACCGCAGACTCTAGGAACACTGCGTCCAGCGTGGACCAACGTTCCAGATCACAAAGGGCAGATTTATTAATCCTCCCACCGCGGGGGCCAGGCCATGAGGGCCATCCACTCCGGCCCCACCTAGCCCCGCACTCCGCCCAGCTGAGTCTCTTCCCCGCGGCGCCCGCATCCCCTTACCCGGTGTTGGGCAACATGACCTCGGTAGACCACAGTCGGTGGGGACAACAGCCGCAACTGGCGGAAACTGATGGGGCTGACGTCCCCTCTGCATTTAGCCCCGCCCCATACCCCGCCTCCCGGGCCCCGCCCCAGACCCCGCCTCCCGGGCCCCGCCCCGAGGCCTGAGGGGGAGTTGGGCGCTCGAAGAAGCCGGTGGCTGAGTGCGCCTGCGCACGCAGTGGTCCTCCCGGGCGCTCGGTTTCTGCCTCCTTCCTGCCTGGCCCCTGGAAACCGGCTCCGTGCGCAAGCGCCGTGAGAGACAACTGCGCCCCTCCCCTCTTGCGGGGCTTTGCGGTGACAATCGGTCTCCTGCCAGCGTCTAGAGGACCGGGCGCGTCAGCCGCTGTGTACGCCTTCCGCAGGCCTGTGAAGAGTTCCTCGCCGTAGCGGATGTGTCCCTTTGCCAGGGGCATGGCCGTTTGAGTCGTGCACTAGAAACCTTGAGGGCTTCGCAGCCGACTCTGGCCAGGAGTGCTTTGGTTCTCTGTCTTCTCTCCCTCACGGTGGCACCTGGGCGCCTGCCCCGCTGCACGAGCGCCCTCGGAGGCTCCCCTTAGGAATGCTTTTCCTTGGCAGATACGCACTTTCTCCCAGAAGTCGTCAAGGGTCGCAATTCGACTCTCCCACCGAATCTGAACTACAGGTAGCTCTGTGGTAGGAGCAGCTTGTGGATCAGTGCGCTGCAACAGTCGCGCCAGAGAACTCAAAAGGGTGAACGCTGAATTTTCAACTCTTAGCCAGTTTCTCAGCGAGGAAATTCCCAAACTCAGTGCTGGAATAAGATGAATTGGTTTTGATAGTATACCTTGGACCTAATTCAGCTACCCTAATGAACTAAATAAAGACTGGCGTATTTTTAGGGAGACATGAAGAAACTATTTTGAGGAGGTAGAGCAGGATGATGAGGTGGCTATGTGAGGACTAGTTAATGAAACTAGCCTGGAAATGGGGTACATACTCTCCCTTTTATTTCAAGCCCTATGTCTCCATTTACTGATTTTTATTACTTGCCAGTCTCAGGCATCTGAATTTGCAATCTGTGATACGGTCTTTAGAGACTCCAGAGGAATTCACTTACTCAAGAAATATTAACACCAACTGTGTGCTCGTCACACAGAAGAACCAAAAAAAAAAAAAAAAAAAAAAAGGCAAGGTCTCTACCTACGTAGGAGGAATGAGGAGTAACCACCATTTTTTAGACTGTTAAAAATATTAGGTGTTATAGAAAGAGTGTTGATAGGGACTATTAGATGAAAAAAAATCCACTCAAGAAAGTGAAGACAACCTACAAAATGAGAGAAAATATTTGCAAATCATATATCTGATAAGGTCTAGTATCCGGAATATATAAAGAACTCTCACAACTCAGCAACAAAAAGATGAACAACTCCCAATTTAAAAACGAGCAAAGGACCTCAATAGACATTTTCCCCAAGAAGGGGTACAAACAGCTAACAAGCACATGAAGAGATGCCCAACAGCCTTCCTTATTAGGGAAATGCAAATCAAAAACCACTTTACACTCACTAGAGTGGCTGGAATAGAAAGGGTGGAAAAAACTAAGTATTGACCAAGGTATAGAGAGACTGGAACCTTCATACATTGCTGGTGGTCATGTAAAATGGCACAGTCACTTTGCAAAAGTTTCGCAGTTCCCCAAGAAGTTAAGCATGGTTACCAGCTACTGAATTATCTACATACAAAAGAGCAATTCCACTGTTGGATATATACCCAAGAGAAATGAAAATATGTTGAGAATAACCACTAGATGGCACTGGTATGTTAAAATTCAAAATTATGTAATACTGCAAAATAATTTATGAACAATATTGTGATATACATTATAATCTGACTTGGATTAAGGCAAAAATATCGCGAAGTTCTTTGTAGGACCCACACAAAGGGGAAATAGGAATAAATTTTAAAATCCTCAAAAAAAGTAATACTTTGTATCATTAAACAGGATGTGATAAGTCAATTCATTTTACATTTTTTAAATTTTCATAAAATAGTCACTTATTTGTGACTTCTAAAGTCTATCAAGTTTAATTCTCCAGTATTAAAAAGTGGTTTTCAAATACATAGGAGATTGAAAATGCCAACTTAAGTTGAAATATCCAGATAGTGACATTTAAAGCAATTTTAATTTTAAATTATCAAATAAAGATTCTTCTAACTCTGACCTTGCATAAGACTATATTAAAATGTATGATGCAGACACATTCAACTTTGTTGACTACAACCTACATAAATAAATTATTCATCCAGACCTAGGACACACACAGTTTTAGCCATTCTATTTTGTTTGACTATATTGTATACTATCCTTTAAAAAAAAGTGATCATAACCTACAAAATTATTTTGATGACTCATTAATGGATCATAACCTACTGCTTGGAAAACACTGCTTAAGTGTTGTAATTTGCCACTGTGATTTTTGAACTTGTCTTTTAAGATATTCTAGGCTTCTTCAGTCAGATATAAAATTACTAATTCATGGTCAGAGGCCAACAATATGATGTGACTAAGAGCAGATGATTTCAAGGGTGTTAGAAGAGTCAGTGAGCCCTTGAAATTTTCCATTTCTTTTACCCACAAGACAGCTCACCCTGGTTCAGAAGTTCAAATGGGAAAATCCTTGGAGTTTTGAGAATATAGCAATTGTTTCTGACAATGTACCAAATCTTCCCAATAGGATCCCTAGCTGTACCTTTTGTTACTCAGTGAATTCTTGCCAGTCATTTAATTAGTTAACTTTTGGATATTAACCTCATTGCTGTCCATATTTTTCTGACAATACATTATTCCAACAAACTAGAGAAAATGAAAATTTCCCTCTAATTATCACCCTGCAGAGATAATCATTGTTAAAAGTTTGGTATGTATCCTTTATGACTTGGAAATTTTTATATAGATTTGGATTGTTTTTAAAGCATAGGGGAGATCATATAAGTATATTGTTTGGGAAACTGTTTTTGTTTTACTTAATGCATCATAAGTATCTTTCCAAGTTTACACCCAAAAGTTTGCCTTAACTTTTCTTAAATAGGTGCATAGTCTTCTTTTATATGAATGTATTCCGAATTAATTTTACCATCAGTGATGGCAACTGAAGGTGTTTCAAAATTGTCTCTATTATAAACAATTGCAATAAAAGCCTTTGTGTGTACATCATTGTTCACTAGTCAATGCCTTGTTTAGTTCTGGCAAATGTGAGGTCAGCTGGGAAAGGTTTTCTTAATTTAAGAGACCACAGAAGAACAGATTGCCTCTTTTCTTCTAGATGTTTTTCCTGGATGTGATGCTTGGCTCAGCTGCGTCTATCTTGCAACCACGAGGGGAACGAGACTTTCCTTTTGGTAGGCAGTTGTCTCAGAACCCTCCTGAGTCTCCCACCTAGTTTTATGATACTCCCACTGCTCCAAGATACACTGTGGGTTTTTCTCACTTTGTGCTGGACATCTCTTAGAATTCCATGGGAACAGTTCCCTTGCACAAACAACTGCTCCCTTGCACGAGTGGACGTAGAGGAGTGTTTGTGTGTGTGGATCACGCCATATTTCACTTTTTTGCTCTGTTGGTTTGTTCACTACACCATTCCCACACAACTCTTTGCTAAAGAGTTGAGGCTTACATGAGGGAATTACTCTCTATACATACTTTTAAAATTAACTTTATATAACAACTGCTATGTCAGAAACTATTTGCCTACCCGTTACACATTCTCCACTTCTTACCAACGGTGGCAATATGTCCATTAAAAACACTCCATCTCTCAAGGCACCCTTACTACTAGGGGTGACCAAGCCACCAAATTATGGCTAACGAGGTAAGTGGAAGATGTTGGAAAGGACTTCTGGGAAAACGTCTTTAAAAGGCTTCCAGCCATTTTGTGACCTTAAGAATGAAAGTCATATGCACCCATAATGGAACAAAAAGGAGAGAGTTTTAGATGAACATGAAGTGTCATAATAGCCCTGAAACAACAACTACTAGGCTTCTTTTGCATGATAAATGAATTTTTATCTAGTTTAAGGCACTATTATTTTTGGTTTTCTGTCATATGCATCTGGACCTAACTCTGAAATTATACTTTGTCTCAAGGCAAAAGTATACATATATGTATCTAAAACACACATAAAAATACATATCAAATACATACAAAAATATATATACATAACATATATTATATACACATATATACGTAAACCACTGTAGGGGTTCCCTCTTGAGCACACCAAATGCCTAGCTTTGCTCCTTGTCTTCATATCTGCTTTTCTGCCTGAGACCATCAATTTTGTTCAAATTTTTCTTTAAAATTGCCTTTAATATTTCCATCCCCTCTCAGAAGATCCCATGCCCTGCTCACAGGAGTTGGTCTCATACTAAGATCCTCCTTTCCCAAGCCAAACATTTTCCCTGAATTATTCATTTTATTTAGAATATGACTTTAGCAAGAGAATTATTCATTTTATTAGAATATGACTTTCATTTTATTTAGAATATGACTTTAGCAAGAGAATCCAGGGTGGGTGTAGATATTCCAAATCCAATTCCCTAGGAGTTATTTCCACCTAGTTCTTCCTGGTGTCCACTAAGTAACTATTATGTCAAACACACCCACATCTCCAAAAGTCAGGCATTGATTCTGAGATGCAGCACTCTCTGGTGAGTGTATGTACTCTTTCCATGCTGAGAAACATCAACTTCCTGTAATTAACATAGCATCGCCCCTGGTCTCTTTATATAAAGATAGTATTTTATCATTTTATGTTGCAGAACAGTGCCAGTTATCTTTCATCTTCTAGCTTTCAAACTGTGCCTGGTAGGTTCCAGGCATTTAAAAAAAAAAAGACACTCAAAGTTAGCTTAAGAATCAGGCCCACACGTAAGCCAGAAAGAGAAAGAAAAATACCATATGAGATCGCTCATATGTGGAATCTAAAAAACAAAAACAAAAACAAACAAACAAACAAAAACTAAGCATAAATACAGGACAGAAATAGACTTATGGACAGAGAATACAGACTTGTGGTTACCAGGGGGGTAGAAGGTGGGAAGGGATAGACTGGGATTT